TGATGAGAGTAAGGTTCAAACATTCCCCCCCCCACCTTTCCCAACTTTCCCTCTACTGTATATAATAAAATAAACACCCCCCACCCAAAAAAAGATGTCAAATTCATCATTAGGGTATTGGAATGCTTAAGTAGAAAATCAAAAGATAATTGGAATAACAAACAAGTTTGGCCTTGGAGTACAAAATGAATTAGGGCAGAGACTAATAGAATTTTGTCAAGATAACTCATCAATCATATCAAACACTTTTTCAACAATTGAAAAGGTGACTCTATACATGGACATCACCAGATGGTCAATATAGAAATCAGACTGACACCCTCCATGAAGTTAAACACTCATACTCACTTTAAATGGGCAACTGAAAAACTGTTATGTCATTGTATTCTGGAGTAGAATGAGGTCATACAGCTATGTGATGTTTAACAAAGGCACAAAAGAACAAATTAGTATAGATAGTCATAGAGGAAGTGAAATAAGATTAGGCCATAAAGCAACCCAATTCTCTTTATTGCAGATAAAAATTTGCGTTCATAACTTTACATGGCCTTTTGTTTTGGTCTGGACCTGCAATTTCGCTGGTTCTGGGAACTCCAAGAAAGTAAATTCTCTCTACCAATGCAAATATGTATTCTAAAAGTTTATACTCTTGGGATAATGAGATGTTAAGTGACTTGCCCACAGTCACACAACCAATATGTGTCAGAAGAAAGACTTGGATCCAGGTCTTTCTCACTGAAGCCACTTCACCACATTGTCTCTCTTCACATCACTAAATGAAGCAAAGCATTCTAATAGTTTTAAAAAGACAACTGAGAGAAAATAAAATATTTTCATCACCATAAATTAGAACTTACAGAGCAACTATACGTTAAAATATCACTAATCTTTTCCACTATAACTAGAGTTATTATTTTTAAGTACTGTATATCAAAAGCAATCCAATGGCTGTTGTCTTAATTTTGTCAAGATAAATCACTGGTCATAACAAACACTTTTTTTTAACAACTTGAAAGGCAACTCTACACATGGACATCAATCTATATATATATATATATATATATACATATATATATGTATATATATTTTGCAACCAAAGGTGAAGAAGCCTTATATAAGTTAAAACAAGACCTGGATCTGACTGTGGCTCAGATCATGAGCTTCTTATCACAAAATTCAGACTTAAAATGAAGAAAGTAGGGGAAAGTATCAGATCAGATAGGTATGACCTTAATAATATTCCTTATGAATATGAAGTAGAGGTGATGAATAGATTTAAGAGATTAGATCTGGTAAATAGAGTGCCTGAAGGACTATGGGCAGAGATTTGTGATATTGTATAGCAAGCAGCAACAAAAAACACTCCAAAGAAAAAGAAGAGCAAGAAAGCAAAATGGCTATCTGAGGAGACTTTACAAATAGCCGAAGAAAGAAGGAAAGCAAATGGTAGAGGAGAAAGGGAAAGATATACCCAAGTCAATGTAGGATTCCAGATAATAACAAGAAGAGATAAGAAGGCTTTCTTAAATGAGCAATGCAAAGAAATAGAAGGAAACAATAAAATGGGAAATATAAGAGATCTCTTCAAGAAAATTAGGGATATCAAGGGAATGTTTCTTGCAAAAATGGGCATGATGAAAGACAAAAATGGTAGAGAGTTAAAAGAAGTAGAAGACATTAAGAAGAGATGGCACAAACTGTACCAGAAAGATCTTAACATCATTGATAACCACAATTATGTGGTTACTGATCCAGAGCTATATATCCTGGAGAATGAAGTCATGTGAGCTTTGCTAACAATAAGGCTAATGGAGATAATGGAATTCTAGTTGAGTTTCTTTAAAACTCTAAAAGATGACGCTGTTAAAGTGCTGCATTCAATATGCCAGCAAATTTGGAAAGCTCAATAGTGGTCAATGAATTGGAAAAGATCAGTCCAAATTACTGAACTGTTGTACTCATTTCACACACCAGCAAGCTTATCCTTTAGCAAGCTAGGCTTCAGCAATATGTAAATCAAGAATTACCAGAAGAGCAGGCCAGTTTTTGAAGAGGCAGAGGAACTAGAGTCCAAATTGCCACCTTGTACTGAATTGTGGAGAAAGCAAGGGAGTTCCAGAAAAAACATCTATTTCTGCCTCATTGATTACACTAAATCCACTGTGTGGATTGCAACAAAATGTGGCCAGTCCTCAGAGATAGGAGGAGTATGAGGTCATCTTACTTGTCTCCTGAGGAAACTGTATGTGGGTCAAAAAGCAGCAGTTAGAACTGAACATGAAACAACTGGTTTAAGATTGGAAAAGGAGTACAGCAAAGCTGTATATTGTCACCTTATTTATTTAACTTATATGCACAGTACATTATGCAAAATGCCAGGCTGGATAAATCAAATTAAGGTTGCAGGGAGAAATAAAATCTCAGATATGTAGACAATACCACTCTGGGTGGCTAGGTGGAGCAATGGATAGAGTACTGACCCTGGAGTCAGGAAGACTCATCTTTCTGAGTTCAAATCTGGCCTTAGATGCTTACTAGTTGTGTGACCCTGTGCAAGTCATTTAACCCTGTTTGCCTCAGTTTCCTCATCTGTAAAATGAGCTGAAGAAGGAAATGGCAAACTACTCCAGTATCTTTGCCAAGAAAACCCCAAGTGGGGTCATGAAGAGTTTTAATTTAAAACAGACTCACTAATGCATTGGTGATAAACCTGTGAATTGATTCAGTCATTGAGTAAAGAAATTTGAAACTTCTTAAAAAATCTCTAAACTGCATGTACTCTTCCATCCAAAAATGCTAAAATTAGGCCTTTACTTCAAATACATCAAAGAGGATCATAGTGGTAACTCCCAGATCACCAAAGCAGTGTGAGAAGTCATATCACTCTTCTCATCTAGGTGCTCTGGATATGTTCTGAAAAGTCCAGGGAAGGGAAGGGAAGTGAAGGGAAAAGAAAGGAAGGAAAGGGAGAGAAAAATAGTGGTAAGCCTATATTTCTAAAGGGAAACTGAACTGGGGATGAAGTTCTCAACAATAAAATTCTGAGAACACAAAGAAAAAACAATTCCAATGAGGAGGAAAAGGGAGAGTTGTCTGAAGAGAACAATATGGATACATAATGTCAGGAACAGTGAAGAGATAACATGCTTGATGTAAGAAACAATTTTCTAACAATTAGAGTTTATCCAAAAGTGTAATAGAGTGGTTCAAGAAGTAATGGACTCCTCCCTGAACATATTTTAAAATTTTTTTAAAAAAATAATTTATTTATTTTTAGTTTTCAACAATCACTTACATAAGATTTGGAGGTTTAAATTTTCTCCTCCTTCCTTTCCTCCCCCTTCCCCAGGACAACATGTAATCTGATACCTCCCTGAACATCTTGAAAGAGAGGCTGGGTAACCACTTTTTAGGTATACTATAAAGGAGGTTTCTTTTTAGGTAGGGATTGGACTGCATGGATTCTTATATCCCTTCTTACTTTGGAATTCTATGATTCTATGAAAGGATGAGAGGATGTGGTTTGGTCACAACATATACTATTAGATGGAATATCTATATTGATGAGATAACATACCCATCAGAAAATGTGCTCTGTGTACTTGTATATAGGTATCTGAAGCCATGGACTTTATTACTGTCTGCTGTCTTGGATATTTTCTTCTGCAAATTCCTGCTCCTTTCCTTTCATATTCTTCTTCCTATCCCATATCAGCAACTCTTTGGCTTGGAGTCTAATTTGGAAGATATTTGTGAGTTTTTGTCCTTTCCCTGTATGTTCCATTGAAACCTCTCTTAATTAAGCTTGATTTATCACAGAATAAATATCTATATACAACAGGGAAGGCACCTTAGTGATCATTAAATACAATTCTCTTATTTTACAGATAAAGGAACCACAAGACTAGTTACCTCCACAGCTGCCCCAAAGTAACTTGTTCAGGTCACACAGAGCAAAATCTGGGCTAGAATCCATGTTTCCTGATTCTTAATCCAAAGCTCTTTCCACACTATGTTAGAAACTTTTATTAATGTCACAATCTGTCATCAGCCAGGGTGACCTTACACAATATATTGGGCTGTTTAGGATAGTCAACATTCTTGGAACACTTTTCCACTGATTAACCATTCTTCATGGTCATTGCAAAGGAATGGAGAGCAAGAGAAGCATTCTTTTGCACATACCATACCCAACCCCCATGGGGAGAGGGGTTTCCCACTTTTGCTTTCCACTGCCCATCCAACTCTCTCCTTTCCCTTCATTTCTGCACTCTATGGTCCTTGTCAGGAGTCAGCTCTAATTGACTTTAGAGAGCCAATTGTTAACTTTTCACTGAAATTGGTAATGGCTATAAATCAGGGCTTGATTTGTTTTGTTGATTGTCTAGACTATAAACTTAAAAGTGTGTGCGTATACTCCTCCCCCCCCCCCCGGAGATCTTGCTTATTAAAATATTTACCACACTCTTGGTCCTTGGTCATCTCACAAACTTAGAGAGACAGAAAGGTGAGCAGGAGAGAGATAAGAAACTTCACTTCCCAGCATGCACTGCACTCAGCACAGGCGCGGCTGGGAAGCAAGCACCCACCCAGCAGACAGCTTGGGGAGACTCTGGGGTTCCAGCTATGGATCCTGGCTGGGGGGTAGGAAGTGGGAATCGCAGAGCCAGTGGGTAGAGGTGGCCGTATGACACGATTGCTTAACCTTCCAAGTACTCACCAGGGGGAAGAAGAGGTAGCCCAGCCAGGTGCTGAGCTGAGGGCATGAAAATGGAGGAGCGCAGCAAATGAAGATGCAGCCGCAGCAATCACTGCCGCAGCACCAACAGCCGCAGCCGTAGCCGCAGCAGCCGCAGCAAGTTAGCCACTGAGCAATAGAGAGTCTAGCCTGACGGCTACTCATTTCGCAGTATTACTGCTTCTTCCAACCCCGTGAGGGTCATGTAACTGCGGCGACAGCTGGTTCTCACTACCCCTCTCTTTCTCCTTTACCTGGCTAGCTCCTGTATGCTACGAGCGACAAGATGAAGAAGCAGTTCAATCGGATGCGCCAGCTTGCCAACCAGACCGTAGGCAGGTAAGGTCAACACTACTCTTTCCGCCCTTCTCATATCCCTTGGCTGCAGGAATGGCCCCTCCTGCAAATCTGGCTCTTGAGCATGGGCGATGGCGTCTGTTGTGAGGCTCTCACCCTTCCCTGTTTTCTCCTTCCTGTTCACTTTTGGTTTCATCTCCTTACGCCCCATATTTTTATCACCTTGATTTTGCATTTCCCAGGCCCCTTGGACAGTAATCCTCCTCTTTGCCCCTTCTCCAGTGCTCTGATGCTCTATGGATCTGCGTGCATTTACTAAGTGAACTGTGACGCACCATCTACCTCGATCCGACTACCCGTATTCCTAGAGACCCCCTCCCCCCAACCCTCCTTTGCTCTTCCAGTCATTTATCTTCCTCCCCTTCTGTCTGCACAAATCTCCAGGTTAGCGTCTCTTGGGTACAGGTGTCTGCTTTGAATGTGGGACTGCCTTAGGCCAGAGTAATTTCCTGAGGATAGCTCCCTTGCTCAAGGTGAATGGATTTGGGAGGGGTGGAAGCTCTCTTGTATAGGGGTTTAGGGTTGGTAACTGGTCCAGAGAAAATAATGGGCCTGCGTGTATTTATTGGACAACCCTGAGCCTGCTCATCCTGCAGTGTTATTTCTTAAGTTGCTTTTATGATATTATAATGTCAGATCATTTTCCTGGCGTTGCATCCCAAGGATATTACTGTGGAGAGGGAGGATGCTGATGGAATGGTGCTATTGTGAGACAAATTTGTCTTTTTGATTTAAGAATACTTTCAAGGACTTTGAAGGAGACTAGTGGCAATAGTAGAGAATGTTTGTAGACAGAAAGTGGTTGCTGGATAGATAAGAAAGGGATTCTAGCCGGGTGAGGAAATGAAAATTTAGCAAATTCTAACTTAACAGGACTTGAGCAAAAAAACCTGCAAGAGGTGACGGGGGTGGGGGGGGGGGGGGGGGGGGGGGGGGGGAAGGGGGGGAAGGGGGGACCTAGTAAAGTTGGTGAAAATTAGACTTAGCAAAATGTGGCTCCTAAGTTGTTTTAAGAAGTATCAACATCAATGCATGTTACATAATGACACTGGTAGTCTTTTTCAGAATCTGGGCACTCCTTGAGGAAAGGATTGGTAAATTAGTGAATAAAGATTCCTATAATTGTCATATGTTTGTTACTAGGGAACTTTTCAGTTATAACTGAGGTAAAGAATGTTGGGCATTTAGGTATGTCAGAAAGCAAATGCTTAGCCTTGACTGCTTCTCTGGAGACTGAACAGTGAAAAGGGCCTTTTGGCTGATTTTTATTAAGAAACTGAATACTATTCCAAGAGGGGAAATTGATCTTGAGTTTCAAACAGAGAGAGTTGCTTAGCATAAGGACTTACATAAATAGAGGATGGTCAACTCTGTCCACAGCAATTGTTCTAATTTTAGTAGTATGTAGTGCTAGGGGATGCTAATATGTGATATGTGTTATCAGTGATGTCAATTTATGATATAACAATGAAAACAAAAAGTTCCTCCTTCCTACTTCCTTCCTTCCTTCTTCCCTTCCTTCCTTTCTTCCTACATCCCTACCTTCTTTATGCCTATTCATTCATCCTGTATGATTCTTTTCTCTGCTTTCCCATCCATCCTTCAAAGAGGATCCACCCAAAGTTCTGAAATTAGACTTCAAGAGCTCTAACATTACAGTATACGGTATAACAAGGGCTGTTTCTCTGTTAGCCCTTGCTCTTGCTACATGTCCAATCCATCTTTTTTTTCTGGTAATATATCTCTGATACCATCTTTTATGACACTTCTTTTGTGCCATTCCTGTTTGGTATTATGTTGCTGTCAATTTTTTTTTTTTATATCCATCTTAAATCACAATTGTTGATCTGCTTTGGAAGAAGGAGTTTACTCACTGGGAGTGAGCACTATTCTTTATTTTCTTTTCTTTTTTTTTAGGCAAGGCAATTGGGGTTAAGTGACTTGCTCAGAGTCACACTATTAGTAAGTGTTACATGTCTGAGGCCAGATTTGAACTTAGTTTCTCCTGACCCCAGGGCTGGTGCTCTATCCACTGTGCCACCTAGCTCCCTGTGCCAAAAAAATCATAGGTCTGCACTAAAAGAAAATGTCTTTCTGTTGTACTTTGGGTGACTCTCAATCTTAATTCTTTGAAGATTATGGGTTTTTTTTTATTTTTAGCCATATTATTACCAGAAGAATACTGGGGTCCAAAAAAGTGGCATGATTCAAGGTGTTCATAGTTGATCACCTACTAGACCCTTTTCATTTGTCAGTGTGCAGCAGTGGGTTTTCAAACTTTTGTTTTGCTTTTGGCACGATGTTCTTTACTGTGAAGAATTGGAGCTCACTGAGTATTTAATTTGACAATATTACAGGAGAGCTGAAAGTCACAGAAATAAAATTTATCTTCAGTAAGTGAAACTTTTTTCCTTGAGTTTTTTTGTAAGTTCAAAGTCTGACATGTTTTGAGATTAGTATACGTATGTATTAGATAAATTTTGTTTTGTTTATCTTGTGAATACTATACTTTCTAGTATGTCCTTCATATGCTGGGCAAAATTTATGTTGAACAAAATTATTTACATATTCTATTTTAGCAATAAGAACATAAAATCCAAATTGTTGCAGTATACCTAGTATGCTCCCTTTGAAAACCCCAGATCTATTTGTTGTTCATTGTCATGTCTGACTCTTGGACCATACTGCCCATGGGGTTTTCTTGGTAAAGATATTGGAGTGGTTTTCCATTTCTTTCTCCAGTGGATTAAGGTAAACAGAGGTTAAGTGAATAACCCAGGGTCATACAGATGGTAAGTGTCTGAGATCAGATTTAAACTCAGGTCTTCCTGATTCTAGACACAGCACTCTATCCACTGAGCCATCTAGCTGCCCTAGGTCTATAGTGTCTGTCTAATGGGTCCTGCTACTGCTTTTATGGATATTGAGTGTTGAGTTATTCTAGGATTTCAGGGGCAGCTCAGGCAGGGCATTTGCAAACTTTCAGTGCTCTGAACGTGGTCTGGGGTCCAGGGCAAAGATTGATCACTCATTTTCTGAGTTAGACTTGCTATCTCCCTCCTCTGTCTGAACTTTGTAAGCTTCTTTGCATGTTATTGGGTCGGAGCAATACACTTGTGGACTTGCCTCTGGTTGGAGTTCCAGTAGATGGCTACTGGACTCGATCACTATCAGCCAACTGGAAAGCTCTGCAGATTCAGAGTAACAGAATTGCAGTTTCCCTTTTGGTCTAAGGATTCCTGCCCTAGTTATTCTACTGTAGGCTTTAAAGTTGGTTGCAAGCTAGATCTGTAGATTATAGAAGAGTCTAGATGAAAAGCAACAGCAACACACAGATGGTTTTTTTTTAAATATAGCTTTACTACTCATGAAGGAGGTAGAACAGTTGTGATCTAAGGCAATCTCATTGTGCTTCTTCTCCAGTCAAATATTCAAAGCCTCTCAGGGCTCAAACTTATATGATTTATAGACAAGTAACCCACAAGACACCAATGGGAGATGGCCCAGTTATCAATAAGAACAGTAAAGTGAGAATATTTTCTGTTTCCTAATAAGGAGTGAGTTATGAGGAGCAGGGATGTAGAAAATTTAACAGTAATGGTACCATTACAACAAGGAATTGATGCAGGGCTAATGCCTAGTTTCTGTATTTATTAGCTTTGGCATTCTAGTGGGCTGGAGCCATAACAATCAAACTGGTTTCCCTAGCTCACAAGCTAAGACCCTCACTCCACTACTGGGGTCAGAGACACCCCCCTAAACTTGCTCCTGTGACCACTTCTTATCTTGCACTACCATACTAGGTATGGGTCCCTTCCTCAATCCACAATGGATTTGTAACCTAGCATTGGGTGAGGAACAGGGCAACCAGCTGGCATTTTTCCAACAAGTTCGGGTGGCATTGTGTGTCTGTAAACTGCTCTTGCCCTGTTACACAGCTTTGGCTCTATTTTACTCCCTGAACTAAAATGCTTTGTATGACCATTTCTAGTTAGATCCTTCCCTAGATCCAACAGACCTCTCTGTCTTCCTATGATGGATAATGACTGATTTTTTTCCCTTAGAGGTGCCAATTAGTCCAGTACATTTTCTAGATCTGGGTGGAGGAGTTATGAGAAAGAACTTGACTTAACTTCTTTCTGCTACTCCACCATCTTGGCTCATATAGCATTTACTTTTGATTGTTTTGTGGGTTTTGTGTTGATTTCTATGGTTATAATCATTGTATATCTTGTTTGCTTGAATCTTATTAATTCTGCAACAGATTGTACAAAACTTTCCATTCTCTGTAGTCATTTCTTACAGTGAAGTTATATTCCATTATATGCATGTGCCACAATTTTTTTTATCCATTCCCCAATCATTGGACACCTACTTTATTTCCATTTCCTTACTATCATAAAATGTGCTGACTTAAATTGTTTGGTAGAAGTTTTTCTTCTATTGATGTCCTTTTGGGGGTATAAGCCTAGTACTAGAATCTCTGGGTCAAAGGATAAAGATATTTTAACCAATATATATACATAATTCCAGTTGTTTTCTAGAATGGTTGTATTGATTCATACCTCTGTCAACATGCACTAGTGTATCTTCCTGCTACCCTTTCAACATTGAAAGTGTTATATTGTGTGTATATATATATATGTGCATATATGCATATACATGTGTATACACATGTATAAATGTGTTGTATACATACACACACAGATATTTGTATATGTGTATATATGGGTATGTTATGTATATATGTATGTATGCATTGTATATGTAGTATGTATGTATGTGTATCCAAAAGCCATTCCCCAATTGACAGGTAGTCAAAGAACATGAATAAATCATTTTCAAAGTAATTACAAATCTTTAACAACTTATATAAAAGAATGCTTCAAGTTACCAATAATTTGAGAAATTATATATCTACATAACAATGCCACATTATCACATACCTTTCAAATTGGGGCAGATGATAAAATATGGGAGTA